GGTTTGATTCTTAATGATGAGGTGTTCATGACAATTATTAGTGAAACCTTGAGGTTGGGAATATCAACCTATTTACTGAATTATGTGCAACAGTTTTCATACATTGTAAGTATTGAAACATATTTAAGTAAAGTGGCATTTCTATTACATCTTTTACTCAGGATCTTTTGGTAGCAACACCAAGATTAGCACCTTCTGTGTACAAAACATAGGCATGCAAGGCGTGCAAGAGTTTTTTTGTGGATTAAAAGCCCCTGGAGATAGCAGCACTCACTCTTAACAGTTATGATAAGGTTAATCCAACAAGTTTGTTTGGTTGCAATGTACAGGGCAGAAAGAAAAAATTAGAATTTTTTTCACTGTAGGTTTAGCTTACAAAACATTCTTTAGTTTGTACTGATGCTGGTGATGGATGTTTCGACAACCTGAGCAGAAAACATCTTCAGAGTCAAGTGAATATTTTGTCAGTTGATGGTGTTATAAATCTGCTCCGTTGAAAGTGATTTGTCAGTTTAGCCATGATGATATTGGCGGTAAGACTCGTGTAAAGTTGTCATCAGTCATTGGTCGGTTTTAATCCGTCTATTGTTAGTCAAATCAGTCCTACTGTTAATCAAATGAAGTTGGTCTGTTAGAGGTCAGTTTGTCGGTTTCGTTTACATCATGGATAAAGTCATTTGTAAGGTGCCGGTAGTTGCTGACATCTGTTAAGAGGGGATTGTTCCAAGTTAGAGTACCAGCTTTCAAGAGTCAGTCATTGAAAATAGTTTGTTCTCTAGGTTCTCTTTGAAACGCTTCTCAGTTGTATTTAATAATTGACATCATTGTGTATTAATTTGAAGTGGTTTTATTGCTAAGGGCAAAGGTGGCAACAGAATAAGAACACGCTATTCCGTGACTTGACATGTCAGATGTGACTATCTAATAATTAGATTAGTTTTTGTTTATCTGTGAAATGATAATTAGCGTTCTGAAGGAAAATCGTTCTTGTTCCATTTTCACCAGATATTCAACTTTATACCAGTTTTTTCCAGCAATGAAGAAAAAGCACATTACTCCTATGTTTTCGAGAAGACAAGAGTTTCGTGTTGTATACCTTTATGAGGAAAACAAAAGTATCAAGTTACAAAGGCTGCGTGAAGAGTAAAATTGTCATGTTTACTGGTCAACGTATTATTTAATTTAACTCATTTTACAACAAGACCCAATTTAGCATGGTCTTATTCTGTTACCAGCAATGATCATATTTTTTTTTCGGTTTTGACATTCATAGAAACCACTTCAAATTAATATCGATATCAAAACCCATTTAAACGAGAAGACATTAGCCTTACCTAACTTGAGACTTAAAACAACCAGACATGTGAAAAGTTCTTTTAATTTTGTAAGACGCTATGAAATCTGCAGAGTTTGGGACGTTTCCTTGTCACATTATCCTTCCCAATGCATGAGAGTTTTTTGGTTACAGAACGTCAGTTACAGAAAAAGTTTTGGCACTTTATGGGGGATGTAGTAAGTTAACCTTTTTGAACCGTGTAAGGAATCTGTTTCAAAACCAAAGAACTACTGTGGCACCTCAAAGTCTAAAAATAAATCTAATTAATTTGCGCTTTTACTTGCCGCCATGGAGTCTTCAGGGATATTTGAAGAGGTTCCATAGCACAAACCTTTTAGAAAATCTGTGCTAAAAATCCCCATTTTTAAGAATTGCCATTAACAGAAGACATTAAAATGCCACGAAAGACACTAAGAAAAGAGACATCTAAATGTTTATATCAACTTAAAGTTTCTGGATGTGCCACTAGATTGGCTTCTTGTTTGTCTATTCTGACCATGCGAACAAGAGTCACTGATTCATCAGTTTTAATTGCAACCACTCGTGCATGAAAAACAAGTGTCAAGTTACCATTTGAAAGTAACAAATACTGTAAACATATCTTGTTACATTTACCTGCAACAAAAACAGATTTCAAAATTCAGCAGTGTTCTCATTCATAACTAGCCATCTGTAATTTCTTTGGTTTTGACAGAGAAAAGCACTTCAAATGAGTATCTCTGTATCGATTCCAAGGAAAGTTTCAACAAGAAGACAGTATTACTCTGTGAACATCATTACTTAATTGAAACTTGTATTCACAAACTCAAAAATTTTGTGCAAACGGAAATGGTTTGGACTCGATTCTTTTTTTGTGAACTGCATGTCATGCAAATAATATTGATGGAAGCCAGACGAATACCATCATGGATGAAAGCCCCCTCACCATCCCAATAGTGCATTTTGCACTAAAAACAATCGTTCCTGTCTTAGAATTTACCAAGTTACCGAGTGGCTAAGACTCATTTTATTCGAAATTTCTCGGAGCAAAGCTTGGATGACATGTTAGTGTATTCCAAAGACTATGATTGTTCAACCAATAATCAAATTCTGAACTCTTTTGAAACCCATCCACAAATTCCTGGGCTCAACCATAGCAAACAAAGCATTGGAAATGTCAGAAGAATACCTGTTTCTGTTTGTAGAAAAACAAAGATTGCCGTTCTAAAATCAGGATGAAATCTCCACACACATGCTTCACCTTAACAAGTGGCAATTTGATGGGTTGTTTATAGTAGCTCCAATCTGATTGGTGTGAATTACATACATCTCTCACTCATCCATTGACCGTTGACCCGATGATAACATACCCCAGAGGTATTTTTTTTACAAAAAAATAACTCGATGGTTGAGTACGCATAGAGTCCCTGTTCATTTGCAATTATCAGGTGAGCAGAATAAACTCTGAGTTTGTGCAGTCTGAACAGAAGTCTGAATTGCATACTTAAATTGGACCCAGCCAGAGGTTGTGAATCTTTGTGGTAACCAAAAGGATTTCCTCGGACTCCTTCCGAGAAATTTTCTACACTGTTCCTTTTGTGCTTACATTTTTTTGGTGTATGACAACATGTGCAACCAAGCTTATCCAGTATAAAAATTGCTTAGCAACAGCCTTCTGTGATCTTATCCCACAGAACTTGTCACTAAATCTTCAATCTCATCATTAGAGGAGCTGTAAGGAAAATAGGGTTTTTGGTGATCTCTTGATTTTCTGTTGATATACACAATCCATCATAACAAAAATCCAATTAATAGCAGAGGTAAACTTGGTTTTCACGTTGTTTTCAAAAAATAGATTCTGCTTCTATCAAATTTCAGCTTACATTCAAGGAGGTTGCGCACATAAATTGGAAATCGCACCTTTAGCAACAGGTCAATCACAGTAGCCTAGTTGGGCACCTCACACTTAAATCATTGACAACTTACTGGAGACAATATTTTTTACTCTGCTTTTATGAGAGAGTGAAAAGGTTTCCAGTTGTTTTAATGTACCACCCTCCTTTGGCAACATCTTGCAGGTAGCCTATGACTAGGCTTAAGTAATCAATTGGTGGCCACTCAAAGGCTTGAGAAATTTCTTCATGTCTTGATCTTATTTCTATACCACACCTTGTGTCTGTTATGCAACCACTTACGATGACATTCTGCTAATATTAGCTTAAATTTACCAGCCTTCTATCTAGTGGGTTTGGTTAAGTTGTTTCAGACTACTAATTACCATTCAAGGCTTTAAGAGGTTGTTCTTGCTCAGGACCGACATGCCAATAACAACCCTTCAGGGGGTCGCTGCACTTGAAGTTAACTGAGTGGAGCATTGAGCAATTTCATAGGGTCAGTGACCTCAGCATATCCTTCTAGAGCCATGTTCACACCCAGGTTGCCCACAACACCTTTGTGGCAAGAATGCTGCTGGATAACTCTCTTTGACTTCCTCTTCATGCTGCCAGCACTGAATGCAGAACATTCTCTGAGACATAATTGTCACCACTGTGAACAGTATATCCCCCTCCTTCACACCTGGAGCCATGTCACGTCATTCCCTTGTTCGATGTAAACAGTTCCCATTAATGAAAGGTATCCTGCCATTCCTTTATAATGGTACTTTCTCAGCATCAGTAGATACACCATCTTGAGTCAAATTTGACAATATGCACAATCACCTGATCAGGTGATATGCAGTAAATGTCAGCCTCTAGGTATGCTCTTTCAGGGTTCAGTTCAACAGTCTGACTAGCACAAACCTGCAAGAGTATAAGTTACACAACACAAGTGAAGCAATTGTGGTGTTTATTTGCCAAACACCCTCTCGGTAGATTAACCTGGAACACTGCTGTGCCCCTCAACATGGAACTTTACCACACGTTGTAGTTTTGATGAGGAAGTCATTTTAACATTATGCACTAGGTTTAGGGCATTATAGTCAACACAAAATCACTGGTTACCATCAGGCTTTGCTGCAAACACTACTGTGGAGAAATATGGAAATTTAGATATCTCCATTTCTGGTATCTCACCCACTTGCTGGCACTTTTCGTTTATCTTGTGGAAGGAATGATATTGGATATATCTAGCACATGGATTAGGTCTGTGATATGTATCAGTTTGAAGTACATGCCAAGTGTCATTTCAAAATGTTGGTAATAAGACATGATTTTTTCATATCCCTTTAGAACAAAAGTCCAAATTCTAGATTGCTGCAGCAAAAATGTTATGGGTTTTCCAGTAGAACCTCCTAAAGGATCAAAGGCCTAATGCATTAATTAGATGAGATTTCAATGCAAATGTAGCATTAACAAGGTGACACAGTGCTCAAAAGATCAAACCAACCTCACAAAGTAGCCAGGAGAAGGAAAAACCATTGGGAAAAGTAACACAAAAATAGATGAACCTAGAAACTTACCCAGCTCCCAGCTTGGAATTGTTTTGAACTGAAGCAAATTCAGATAAATTTCCTTTCCGTTTCCATTTTCTCCTGGGTATTTTGCTCTTAAATAACAAAAAAAAAACATCCTAAATTTTGCTAATGCAAGCACTCTAACTGATTGTTAGTCAACTGACTGTACACCTGTGGTTTATTTTGAAGTTATTTGTTTGTTTTTAAAGTTGTTGTTTGTTTGTTTGCATGCCCTTCCCCATCAAGAACAATGAGATGATGCTTGCTAAGTAGCTATTAAAAAGGTCTTTGCTTAGTAAATTTGATGCTCAAGAATATCATGGTTATAAACTGTTCCTCTGGTGTATTTCGTGTATGGCAGTAGCTGCTGGTCCTGTTTTTAGTAAATCTGTGCTTTTCCATTATGCAGAACCACCCATTGCAATGTGGACTGAAGTCTGTTACTTGTCACCAGTTACAGGGCCTTGCCGTGCTTCTTTTCCTCGCTGGTATTATAACCCATTTAACAAGAAATGCTTGAAGTTCGCATATGGTGGCTGTAAAGGGAACATGAACAATTTTCACACCAAGGTAGACTGCAAGAAACACTGCATGAAAAGAAAAGGTAAAACCCGTGCTAGGGCTGCAATGTGGTATGGAGCTTTTAGGAGACGTACCAGTAACTTCAGACAATTAAGCCTTGGGTAACTGTTCATGTGAATTCAGGACAGGTATTACCAATCTTCCGGATGGTTTAGAGAGTAATTTGTCACCTGAAGTGATACAATCAGACCTTCCCAGGCTGGTGTCTTTTAAGACACCTTACAATCATATCTCTTCAATACCTCATAGCAACAGGTATATTTTTTAAGGTAGAGGGTGTATATTTAAATAAACCCACTTAAACTCCTGACTCATGATGGACATGCCAAAATGCAGACCTTTCAGGTTGTTCAGACTGTGCAGACCAAACTTTCCTTCTTTGAACTAGTTGTCATATTTACTTGTACATTGTAACCAGTCCTTCTGTTTCTGGTTCATACATGTTGTTAGACTTGTTGTTTGATAGAGTTCATTTTATCTGGATGCTTCCTATATCCAATTAAATTTGTCTTGTTGATGGCACTTAAAGGACACAAAATGAAAGTCATATTTCTCTACAACTTATGCCATTTTTCTGGATTTCAAAAGGGTGAGATTTAGAATTTGTTTTGCTGTTTTTCTGGTGTGTTTTGTGCTAGTCAATTTTCTCCTCTTTATGTCAAGATATAAATGATATACGATTACCATGGATTCGAAACTCAGTGCAGTGGCATCAAAATTGGCACTCTTTGCAGTCTATCTATTTTCCAAGTTCAGTGGCTGATAACTCTTTTGGTTGGAAGTGCTTGCAAATTTTGTGGCTGAAGCTTTGTAACGAATGGTTGCTGTTCTGAAAAGGAGTTCTTGTCATCATTTGTGTTTGACTAAACTATGGATTAATGCCAGCTTGTTACTTTGATGGGTTACTCATATTTTACTTCAAAAGTGCCTTGATGATCAGCCCAGTCACAATCTCCAGAGCTGTTTGTGAAAATCGTTATTTTCCAAGTGACCCTTGAGTGGTTCTTTTCAGAACTTGAACTCTCTCTAGACTCTTCCATGGCAGAGAAGGCTCAGCAACTCTGAAACAACCTAGTTGTCTCTAACACTACCATTTGCCTAGTTGTCTCTGCCATTTGCCTTTGTCTATTCTGTCTGAAAAGTGGCAAGTCATCAAAAAACAATAACCTTGATTGGCCCAGAAGCTCTGACTTGGATAATGCATGGAGAAATCATGATTACTATGGCTCTTTTGCAGTTCCATGCTAGTATGTTATAGTCACTAACAGCGGTTCTTTTCCAACTCCCCTCACGCAGACGATCACCCTAGAGGAACCACTGATACTCATGGATTCAAACCGTTTACAAAATAATATATTATAAATCTTCCCACATCAGAAGAACAGTTCAGGGCTTCTGCAGCTGGTGCCTTTTATTTTCTGACTGTTGACTTCAAACTCTTCTGATTGCTGTTGTTGAGAATAGTGAAAAACTTCTGGGAGTTTAACTTTTCATTTTGCAATGCTTTTAGAATCTCTAAGTAGTCTAAGAAAAACAGGCCGCTCTTTTATTTTCAAAGCATCTGCTTCACTAAGATAAACCAGAGGTACACATATCAAAGATAGTGTCCTGTTGGTCTTAATAAAGAGTTTGCTGTTCCACCCATCAAAGGACGAAGTGTCATGGGTACATTTTTCAGTGGCTAGCTAATAAAGAGGCCACCACCAGTGGTGACAGAGTTAACAAGACCATTACATTTGTCATTTCCCTTGACACTGGTTACAGAGAATTATGTTTGTGGAACTCAGAGCCACATAAAATTTATGGTAAATTTTATGTCAATCAGTGTTCATGTTCAAACAATTTTAAGCCCATGTTTCCACAAATATTGCAGTGAGATATTTGCAAACAGGCCTACTGTTGGAAAAATTGGCTATTTAAAATATATGGTATGTATTTGATGACAAAATATCTATATCGTACCTCTAAATTGTTCTCCAAGCAAATAGCATCTGCAATATATGTTCCAGATTTCCTCCCTTGCAAAAACCAACACTCCAAATGCTAATCCAATCCTGATGCACTAATACTGTATAACAAGTCATGGACTGCTCACCTGGGAATTGAGGGCAAATAAATTACCTTTAAATTTACATTAAAAATGAACCTGAAACCAGATGAAGTGAAAACAAAAGTACTCTGTCAGTCTGCATGTACAGTCTGCAGGTTCTGCATTTTGGATGAACTAACATGCCTAGATTTTAGATTCAGTGGCTGGCCTGTTATTACTTGTTATCCAAAATGTATGCTTTATACATTAAATAAAATAGTGTTTTGAGACAGGTTATGCTATGATATTCTACTGATTGATGTCTTAAGAAGTACCAAAACTTGTTTTGCTGTTGTCACATTGAAGTCATGAACCATAAACTGAAAAACATTGTAATAAATATTAGCATTGCATCATTTTATAAAGGATACTGCTGGAAACATCTGTTTGTCCTAGACTTTGTTTTTGCCAGTTTGTATTTGTACACACTCAGGATAAAATTTTATGATCAAAGTTTGAGTGACAGGTTTGAGGTATCATTTAATTTTGACTTTCACCATCATCAAGATGAGAGTTTTCCTTCCATGTTAAGTGGAAAGACTAAACTAGCTAGGTAAGCATTATTTTCTGTCAGCGGTTTGCATCATTAATATGCTCTATTTAATTTCCAAAATTAAAGGTTTGATTAATCAGAATTGCACACTTATGGTCACACATTGGCATATGAAAAAGTTGTGGTCACACATTGGCATATGAAAAAGATAGAGTACACACAGTTTGTTAACTTTATAAAACTCAGATCTTGAAACTCAAACTTGTAAAATGAAAAAACTCAGAATGCTTAAGTATTGAAGTGTTGTATACACAGTTCCAGGATTTCACCCAAAGTTGGACTATTGTACTTATCTATAATATTGTCAAATATGTCTGGACTAAATTAAGTAAAACTATCAATTTAGAACAAAATAATCCGAGAAGAGACTTAAACTACAATTATGATCAGTGAGTCATGTTTGACACTAAGAAAATTATGCACAAACAAGTCAATCTGCATTTTAGCTTGTTAATATAACCTTGCCTGGTTATACACTAAGTGAGATCTGTCTTCTTGTAGGGATTCGTAACCTAATTACATAGTAATAATTTTGTAAGTTGGCTAGCACTTGGATCACAATCTATTTTGACAGGTTACAACAATCAACCTGTTATGCTTCAATCTGTTTTCCAAGAATGATTGCTTTTACTATGATTAAAAATAATATAAAATAAAGAGTATGGTTTTATTGTCTAACAAGAAGATGTATCGGTTAAGACAAGGAAATTTTTAACTGCCAGCTTAAACAGCTTGATCTCTTTGTTTCTGTTTATGATTGAGAGAAAATTTTCAGTTGTGTAGTGTTCTATTAGGACTTGTGTACATGTGCACTGTGCATTCATAAAAATTATATGTAACATTAGAAATATTGGCTAGGATAATGATTACCAATCTCATTTATTTTATTTTCTATCAAATTATGTGTGTATCAACTCCTGTTTTACAGGACTGACAGCAGTAAATGCTTACATTCACAAAAACCAAGAAACTATCACAAACTTGGAAGCTACAGTAACTGCAAAGGATGTTCAAACTCCAATTTTTTTACCTAAGAGTAGTTTCTTTTTCTTACCCCAACAGTTCCTTCACTGTCAACAACTTCAGTCTATAGCTTGCCATCTTCCAACACTTCCCCAGTTACCTCAGGTGAGAACAGAGAAACTCCCCTTCTGTTTTATCCTCTCTTTTGCAATTTCAAATCCAAAAACACGGCCTACAAGTTTGTGATAGTTCAAAGGCATAAAGTACAGCAAAATAAATAAATAGATCTATAACACTATGCACTATATGGTGAATGCGAATCCTTTTAATAACTATTTTAGCCTAAATATATTAAAGGTTATAGGTTATATGACATGTGAGATAAAGAAAACTCTACAATGAATTATTATGAAAATCTATATTGCATATAATACAAATTTAAAGGTAGACATTTATATGAAAGTTACTCTAGTTGCATGCACTAAGCAATCAACTAACTGTAACAGTAAGAGTCTGAATGCTAGACAAATAACAATCTAATGGTAGTTGGGGCAATCTCACCTTTGATTGGCTCCATAAAATTTATTGTTGTGCCAGAATTAGCTAATTAATTAACTCAGATCTCTGGGTTAGAAGAGTAGACTTGTCAGCAGTCAAGATACAGAGTTTCTCTGATTGCATGTTGTATATAATATATACTTATGTAAGTGCACGCATAGGATTTAAACCAGTTAGCTGCTCTAATTGAGTTACTACTGGGTGGTAAATTGAAAACATAACTGAAGTTCAGTGCATAGCTTAAGCAATTATATAATAATTGTATTTTCTATCATTACCTTTTGTCACAGAGGAAATGAATATCAAATAAAATGGTTTTGGAAGGTTGAAGGTGTTTGTTATTATTTAAGTAATACTCATTGTCTTAGCAAGTACCCTCATGAGATAGTCTTTAAGTGTAGTTTGACTGGTTGCACAAGACCCATGTGCTTAACTGAGTTGTGAAATTGTCTGATGAGAAGTGTTAGTAAAACACTTGTGTAGTTTCAGTTATTTTACGGTTGCAAACAACTTCCTGATTTCAAAACGATTATTTGTTTGCAATATCATAATCTTTTTAAATCCGCAAATTCATTTGTAAGGTTTGAAAGTTACCACAGCACAGAGATGCCAGTCTACAAAAATCTAAATCCAGGAGATTAGTCGTAAAAGGTTGTTGGTAAAAGAAGAGCCCTGCTCACTCAACATGCAAAAATGTTTCAAATATTCCAAAATTCTCCCCTGAATATGTAAAAACTAAAATCTTGAAAATGCCCAAGTGGAAAACAAAGTTAGCATCGCAAGATAAAATTTTGTGCCAGTTAGCTACAATCTCTTAGGTAGAGAACCAAGTCTGTTGTAAAGCACTACTATGATAGAGTGTTATGAACTGATTTTGCCAGAACCAATTTGGATCATTGTCACCTAATTTTTATGGAGCTAGACTTACTCATACTTCAGTTACTTACTGAACTGAATCTCTTTAATGGGTTGACACAATTACCAGAATACCAATACAGTTGAACCTTGCCATTTCCAACTCTCAGGGGAAACAAAAAATAGTTCGATATAGCAAGTGTTCGAAATAACCAATAGTAAACGACTGAAGGGGAAATCCAAGGATAATGGTTTTGAGTTGGAGATTACAGGGAATTCGAAATAACTGAGTTTGAATTGGCAGGTTCCACCTGTAGTTTACACTGTGACCTAAAAACTGACAGAGTAAGACCAAAAATAATTCTTTTTAAGAATAAAACGGTGTTTGCATATGGTCAACCTCCTTTCCATCCAGTTCAAGTAAAATGTCCTAGATTGACCCCTGGAAGGGAGGATCCAGATTATTATCAATCAACCCATTAATTCATTTGCAGGCTTGGCCGCTCTATTGATTAAAGAACATGGAGGATTGGTACAAAGAACCACCTTTCCTTGTACTCTGCTGTCTTTCTAAATCCAAAATGGCTGCCAAACAGCCAATGTTCACTTGTCCAACAGAATTATGCCCCACTGACTTACTAATGACAAATTATACTCCTTGTTCTATTAGCTGTGATGTTCAGATGCCGCTGCTCAAACTGTTCAGGTTCAGATAGTTGTACCACAGTGGTGGGCTGCTTCACTATCAACAATTACACAACTGGACGTACAAAAGTAACAGAAAAAGGATGTTTCGCTAGCTCAGAGGTGTACAGAGTACAGTGCACTAATAGTACACAGAGGCTGGCATGCTGTAAACAGGACATGTGCAATGACTTCCCAATCTCTGATGAAGGCAATGGTAAACCTTTGATTTCTCGATTTTTATAATCAATAAGTTTATAATTTTCTTTGCGAACTGTAATTTAAAATGTCAACTTAGTTCTAATGATACAAAGCAAGAATCAGACCCTGGATTTGGCATGCAGGACCAGATTATCAACTTTGACAGCAACAAAACCTGATACTAGTAGTGAAAAAGTGAAAAACAGTAAAGCTGCACTTACAGTGCTGCTAGCGATTGTAACTAATTAGACAGTGCTTTAACATGGAGGCTTTTCATGTGTTGGAGGTGACCACAGCAAAGTGGCAATTTTGTATTAACCTTTGTGTCTCCTGTCTTTGAATAGATCACTTGATTTCTCAATCATTTTTCAGGTGTTAGCTACTTGAATTATTTGTCTATCAACAGTTGTAGCTCACCTCCAAATTTCCCCCGATTCTTATTGGTTTAAATTGATCATGTGACACTATGTGTTCATTGGCAGAGAGACACCAACCACCAACAGTGCCTGTCAAAGGCAAATACCCGGATGGTACTCATCCATTAAATTTTTTCTGCAAACAAGCGGGCTTATGGAACAAAAATTGAAAGACGCAAATTGCCTGTTTTCTTTGTAAATTTTACATTGGTCTTTCACGCTTTTCATCTAAAAATCAAAGTGCTCTATGAGCAAACCCGTCAATTTCCCAGTAGATGATGATTGATGTGTGACTTGCGGGTTATTCTCGTTATGCAAATTACCATATTGACCTCCGACTATGCTTGTTATAACAGCACTCTTAAAAAAAACAAGAATAACTTTTCGTGCATATTACATGAAGCACAAGAACTGGCAAACCTCCACTACATGGGCTGCACTGCTTCAATGGATTTACTCATTCTCAGTTGAGCCACTCTACCTTATAGACTTCTTGTCGCCACGCCCAACATGTTTTTCTTTCTGCCTGAAGATGAAAGCGTAGTCTGCTTTACACGACTCAGCGCTGTTAGATGGAAAGCGAACAGGTTGCGGATAAGATACTCTGCTTGCAGGGTAGCTGCAAAAGATCTTCAAAGAAATCGAATTTTTTTATTATGAATTACAAATGCACAACATCTAAGCCACTGGATGCAATTTGAGGTCGATTTATGCGAAACAGCAAGGTCGCGTAACATCAAAAACTGTGTTCTTATCGGTTCCAAGCTTGAGATAAGTACATGTAGCTACCTGTGGATGTCCTTCACCAAAAAAAAGGTTGAACAAGAAAAGAAAAATACCAGTGGCTAAAAAAAAAAAAATGGAAANTATATTTAAATAAACCCACTTAAACTCCTGACTCATGATGGACATGCCAAAATGCAGACCTTTCAGGTTGTTCAGACTGTGCAGACCAAACTTTCCTTCTTTGAACTAGTTGTCATATTTACTTGTACATTGTAACCAGTCCTTCTGTTTCTGGTTCATACATGTTGTTAGACTTGTTGTTTGATAGAGTTCATTTTATCTGGATGCTTCCTATATCCAATTAAATTTGTCTTGTTGATGGCACTTAAAGGACACAAAATGAAAGTCATATTTCTCTACAACTTATGCCATTTTTCTGGATTTCAAAAGGGTGAGATTTAGAATTTGTTTTGCTGTTTTTCTGGTGTGTTTTGTGCTAGTCAATTTTCTCCTCTTTATGTCGAGATATAAATGATGTACGACCCATGGATTCGAAACTCAGTGCAGTGGCATCAAAATTGGCACTCTTTGCAGTCTATCTATTTTCCAAGTTCAGTGGCTGATAACTCTTTTGGTTGGAAGTGCTTGCAAATTTTGTGGCTGAAGCTTTGTAACGAATGGTTGCTGTTCTGAAAAGGAGTTCTTGTCATCATTTGTGTTTGACTAAACTATGGATTAATGCCAGCTTGTTACTTTGATGGGTTACTCATATTTTACTTCAAAAGTGCCTTGATGATCAGCCCAGTCACAATCTCCAGAGCTGTTTGTGAAAATCGTTATTTTCCAAGTGACCCTTGAGTGGTTCTTTTCAGAACTTGAACTCTCTCTAGACTCTTCCATGGCAGAGAAGGCTCAGCAACTCTGAAACAACCTAGTTGTCTCTAACACTACCATTTGCCTAGTTGTCTCTGCCATTTGCCTTTGTCTATTCTGTCTGAAAAGTGGCAAGTCATCAAAAAACAATAACCTTGATTGGCCCAGAAGCTCTGACTTGGATAATGCATGGAGAAATCATGATTACTATGGCTCTTTTGCAGTTCCATGCTAGTATGTTATAGTCACTAACAGCGGTTCTTTTCCAACTCCCCTCACGCAGACGATCACCCTAGAGGAACCACTGATACTCATGGATTCAAACCGTTTACAAAATAATATATTATAAATCTTCCCACATCAGAAGAACAGTTCAGGGCTTCTGCAGCTGGTGCCTTTTATTTTCTGACTGTTGACTTCAAACTCTTCTGATTGCTGTTGTTGAGAATAGTGAAAAACTTCTGGGAGTTTAACTTTTCATTTTGCAATGCTTTTAGAATCTCTAAGTAGTCTAAGAAAAACAGGCCGCTCTTTTATTTTCAAAGCATCTGCTTCACTAAGATAAACCAGAGGTACACATATCAAAGATAGTGTCCTGTTGGTCTTAATAAAGAGTTTGCTGTTCCACCCATCAAAGGACGAAGTGTCATGGGTACATTTTTCAGTGGCTAGCTAATAAAGAGGCCACCACCAGTGGTGACAGAGTTAACAAGACCATTACATTTGTCATTTCCCTTGACACTGGTTACAGAGAATTATGTTTGTGGAACTCAGAGCCACATAAAATTTATGGTAAATTTTATGTCAATCAGTGTTCATGTTCAAACAATTTTAAGCCCATGTTTCCACAAATATTGCAGTGAGATATTTGCAAACAGGCCTACTGTTGGAAAAATTGGCTATTTAAAATATATGGTATGTATTTGATGACAAAATATCTATATCGTACCTCTAAATTGTTCTCCAAGCAAATAGCATCTGCAATATATGTTCCAGATTTCCTCCCTTGCAAAAACCAACACTCCAAATGCTAATCCAATCCTGATGCACTAATACTGTATAACAAGTCATGGACTGCTCACCTGGGAATTGAGGGCAAATAAATTACCTTTAAATTTACATTAAAAATGAACCTGAAACCAGATGAAGTGAAAACAAAAGTACTCTGTCAGTCTGCATGTACAGTCTGCAGGTTCTGCATTTTGGATGAGCTAACATGCCTAGATTTTAGATTCAGTGGCTGGCCTGTTATTACTTGTTATCCAAAATGTATGCTTTATACATTAAATAAAATAGTGTTTTGAGACAGGTTATGCTATGATATTCTACTGATTGATGTCTTAAGAAGTACCAAAACTTGTTTTGCTGTTGTCACATTGAAGTCATGAACCATAAACTGAAAAACATTGTAATAAATATTAGCATTGCATCATTTTATAAAGGATACTGCTGGAAACATCTGTTTGTCCTAGACTTTGTTTTTGCCAGTTTGTATTTGTACACACTCAGGATAAAATTTTATGATCAAAGTTTGAGTGACAGGTTTGAGGTATCATTTAATTTTGACTTTCACCATCATCAAGATGAGAGTTTTCCTTCCATGTTAAGTGGAAAGACTAAACTAGCTAGGTAAGCATTATTTTCTGTCAGCGGTTTGCATCATTAATATGCTCTATTTAATTTCCAAAATTAAAGGTTTGATTAATCAGAATTGCACACTTATGGTCACACATTGGCATATGAAAAAGTTGTGGTCACACATTGGCATATGAAAAAGATAGAGTACACACAGTTTGTTAACTTTATAAAACTCAGATCTTGAAACTCAAACTTGTAAAATGAAAAAACTCAGAATGCTTAAGTATTGAAGTGTTGTATACACAGTTCCAGGATTTCACCCAAAGTTGGACTATTGTACTTATCTATAATATTGTCAAATATGTCTGGACTAAATTAAGTAAAACTATCAATTTAGAACAAAATAATCCAAGACGAGACTTAAACTACAATTATGATCAGTGAGTCATGTTTGACACTAAGAAAATTATGCACAAACAAGTCAATCTGCATTTTAGCTTGTTAATATAACCTTGCCTGGTTATACACTAAGTGAGATCTGTCTTCTTGTAGGGATTCGTAACCTAATTACATAGTAATAATTTTGTAAGCTGGCTAGCACTTGGATCACAATCTATTTTGACAGGTTACAACAATCAACCTGTTATGCTTCAATCTGTTTTCCAAGAATGATTGCTTTTACTATGATTAAAAATAATATAAAATAAAGAGTATGGTTTTATTGTCTAACAAGAAGATGTATCGGTTAAGACAAGGAAATTTTTAACTGCCAGCTTAAACAGCTTGATCTCTTTGTTTCTGTTTATGATTGAGAGAAAATTTTCAGTTGTGTAGTGTTCTATTAGGACTTGTGTACATGTGCACTGTGCATTCATAAAAATTATATGTAACATTAGAAATATTGGCTAGGATAATGATTACCAATCTCATTTATTTTATTTTCTATCAAATTATGTGTGTATCAACTCCTGTTTTACAGGACTGACAGCAGTAAATGCTTACATTCACAAAAACCAAGAAACTATCACAAACTTGGAAGCTACAGTAACTGCAAAGGATGTTCAAACTCCAATTTTTTTACCTAAGAGTAGTTTCTTTTTCTTACCCCAACAGTTCCTTCACTGTCAACAACTTCAGTCTATAGCTTGCCATCTTCCAACACTTCCCCAGTTACCTCAGGTGAGAACAGAGAAACTCCCCTTCTGTTTTATCCTCTCTTTTGCAATTTCAAATCCAAAAACACGGCCTACAAGTTTGTGATAGTTCAAAGGCATAAAGTACAGCAAAATAAATAAATAGATCTATAACACTATGCACTATATGGTGAATGCGAATCCTTTTAATAACTATTTTAGCCTAAATATATTAAAGGTTATAGGTTATATGACATGTGAGATAAAGAAAACTCTACAATGAATTATTATGAAAATCTATATTGCATATAATACAAATTTAAAGGTAGACATTTATATGAAAGTTACTCTAGTTGCATGCACTAAGCAATCAACTAACTGTAACAGTAAGAGTCTGAATGCTAGACAAATAACAATCTAATGGTAGTTGGGGCAATCTCACCTTTGATTGGCTCCATAAAATTTATTGTTGTGCCAGAATTAGCTAATTAATTAACTCAGATCTCTGGGTTAGAAGAGTAGACTTGTCAGCAGTCAAGATACAGAGTTTCTCTGATTGCATGTTGTATATAATATATACTTATGTAAGTGCACGCATAGGATTTAAACCAGTTAGCTGCTCTAATTGAGTTACTACTGGGTGGTAAATTGAAAACATAACTGAAGTTCAGTGCATAGCTTAAGCAATTATATAATAATTGTATTTTCTATCATTACCTTTTGTCACAGAGGAAATGAATATCAAATAAAATGGTTTTGGAAGGTTGAAGGTGTTTGTTATTATTTAAGTAATACTCATTGTCTTAGCAAGTACCCTCATGAGATAGTCTTTAAGTGTAGTTTGACTGGTTGCACAAGACCCATGTGCTTAACTGAGTTGTGAAATTGTCTGATGAGAAGTGTTAGTAAAACGGACATCTTCAAGCACATGTTATTTGGTGAAACATAAGTTCTGGAGTTCTTTTAGTGTTGTTTTAGTTTTGTGTGGCTGCAAATGAAGGTCTTGTTTGTCTTTGTGCGGAGTTCTTGCTTGTGTAGTTTCAGTTATTTTACGGTTGCAAACAACTTCCTGATTTCAAAACGATTATTTGTTTGCAATATCATAATCTTTTTAAATCCGCAAATTCATTTGTAAGGTTTGAAAGTTACCACAGCACAGAGATGCCAGTCTACAAAAATCTAAATCCAGGAGATTAGTCGTAAAAGGTTGTTGGTAAAAGAAGAGCCCTGCTCACTCAACATGCAAAAATGTTTCAAATATTCCAAAATTCTCCCCTGAATATGTAAAAACTAAAATCTTGAAAATGCCCAAGTGGAAAACAAAGTTAGCATCGCAAGATAAAATTTTGTGCCAGTTAGCTACAATCTCTTAGGTAGAGAACCAAGTCTGTTGTAAAGCACTACTATGATAGAGTGTTATGAACTGATTTTGCCAGAACCAATTTGGATCATTGTCACCTAATTTTTATGGAGCTAGACTTACTCATACTTCAGTTACTTACTGAACTGAATCTCTTTAATGGGTTGACACAATTACCAGAATACCAATACAGTTGAACCTTGCCATTTCCAACTCTCAGGGGAAACAAAAAATAGTTCGATATAGCAAGTGTTCGAAATAACCAATAGTAAACGACTGAAGGGGAAATCCAAGGATAATGGTTTTGAGTTGGAGATTACAGGGAATTCGAAATAACTGAGTTTGAATTGGCAGGTTCCACCTGTAGTTTACACTGTGACCTAAAAACTGACAGAGTAAGACCAAAAATAATTCTTTTTAAGAATAAAACGGTGTTTGCATATGGTCAACCTCCTTTCCATCCAGTTCAAGTAAAATGTCCTAGATTGACCCCTGGAAGGGAGGATCCAGATTATTATCAATCAACCCATTAATTCATTTGCAGGCTTGGCCGCTCTATTGATTAAAGAACATGGAGGATTGGTACAAAGAACCACCTTTCCTTGTACTCTGCTGTCTTTCTAAATCCAAAATGGCTGCCAAACAGCCAATGTTCACTTGTCCAACAGAATTATGCCCCACTGACTTACTAATGACAAATTATACTCCTTGTTCTATTAGCTGTGATGTTCAGATGCCGCTGCTCAAACTGTTCAGGTTCAGATAGTTGTACCACAGTGGTGGGCTGCTTCACTATCAACAATTACACAACTGGACGTACAAAAGTAACAGAAAAAGGATGTTTCGCTAGCTCAGAGGTGTACAGAGTACAGTGCACTAATAGTACACAGAGGCTGGCATGCTGTAAACAGGACATGTGCAATGACTTCCCAATCTCTGATGAAGGCAATGGTAAACCTTTGATTTCTCGATTTTTATAATCAATAAGTTTATAATTTTCTTTGCGAACTGTAATTTAAAATGTCAACTTAGTTCTAATGATACAAAGCAAGAATCAGACCCTGGATTTGGCATGCAGGACCAGATTATCAACTTTGACAGCAACAAAACCTGATACTAGTAGTGAAAAAGTGAAAAACAGTAAAGCTGCACTTACAGTGCTGCTGGCGATTGTAACTAATTAGACAGTGCTTTAACATGGAGGCTTTTCATGTGTTGGAGGTGACCACAGCAAAGTGGCAATTTTGTATTAACCTTTGTGTCTCCTGTCTTTGAATAGATCACTTGATTTCTCAATCATTTTTCAGGTGTTAGCTACTTGAATTATTTGTCTATCAACAGTTGTAGCTCACCTCCAAATTTCCCCCGATTCTTATTGGTTTAAATTGATCATGTGACACTATGTGTTCATTGGCAGAGAGACACCAACCACCAACAGTGCCTGTCAAAGGCAAATACCCGGATGGTACTCATCCATTAAATTTTTTCTGCAAACAAGCGGGCTTATGGAACAAAAATTGAAAGACGCAAATTGCCTGTTTTCTTTGTAAATTTTACATTGGTCTTTCACGCTTTTCATCTAAAAATCAAAGTGCTCTATGAGCAAACCCGTCAATTTCCCAGTAGATGATGATTGATGTGTGACTTGCGGGTTATTCTCGTTATGCAAATTACCATATTGACCTCCGACTATGCTTGTTATAACAGCACTCTTAAAAAAAACAAGAATAACTTTTCGTGCATATTACATGAAGCACAAGAACTGGCAAACCTCCACTACATGGGCTGCACTGCTTCAATGGATTTACTCATTCTCAGTTGAGCCACTCTACCTTATAGACTTCTTGTCGCCACGCCCAACATGTTTTTCTTTCTGCCTGAAGATGAAAGCGTAGTCTGCTTTACACGACTCAGCGCTGTTAGATGGAAAGCGAACAGGTTGCGGATAAGATACTCTGCTTGCAGGGTAGCTGCAAAAGATCTTCAAAGAAATCGAATTTTTTTATTATGAATTACAAATGCACAACATCTAAGCCACTGGATGCAATTTGAGGTCGATTTATGCGAAACAGCAAGGTCGCGTAACATCAAAAACTGTGTTCTTATCGGTTCCAAGCTTGAGATAAGTACATGTAGCTACCTGTGGATGTCCTTCACCAAAAAAAAGGTTGAACAAGAAAAGAAAAATACCAGTGGCTAAAAAAAAAAAAATGGAAAAAAAGCCAACGAATCCCAGAATCTAACTCAGGTTCACTAGATTGGAACGTGGGTGCGAACCATAGTAACATGTAAGAAACCTTCGATGCTTCAAGGGGGAAAGCTACAAAGTACTTCAGCCTTATTTCAAATTGGCTAGCAAATGTGCGAATTTGCTAACAAATATGGGACATATACTCTCTTAAACTGCAAACTTCTTGGATGCTGACGTTTAGTGTGCCTAGTACACAGGGAACCGAGGAGTAGCGTGAATCAAGTTTTTGTTGATTCAAATGACCTAAAAGTCAAACTGTACACATGCGATCGCATTGCGATGAGTAAATCTGCTGTAAATAGACATCTAAAGCTTTTCGTGAGAGCTGCTGTCTGACTTTGACATATGGTAACTCATCCGTCTATCCAAATGTCAAAAGGTATCAGCTTGAAAAAGCCCAAAACTTTTTGTCTGTGAGCAAAATTTTAATGCTATCTAGTTCTCCTCGCTCCTGCTATGTGGTATTCATCTTCCAATGTGACTTATGTGAGTTTGTCCTCAAGACTGAGCAGGTTTTTTCTTGCGGTGGATTCCACGCCCGCAGTTGAAACTTATAATCTGGCGTAATCATGAGCCTTTTAGAGGCCGCAAGACCATGGTGTTGTTTATTAGAGACTTTTTCGACGAATTTCACGGTGGCCTCAACAAAACTGTTTGCTTTGGTTTTCGAAATTTAATTTCAGGAGCTTAACCCTCCAGTAGTAGTACCATCGATATGTAGAGAGGACTGCCTCTTGTCAATCTTTACTAAACTTCAAACTTCAGAGCGAAAATTTACAAAAGCAGCTTCCAGCAACTTTACCTGTGTCATCTAAAGCGTTCCCAATGCATATTACAAAAGCCAACATTTGGTCTTATTCAGAGTTAACTGTTAATTTAAGATTAGAATTGTAATAGAAATGTTAAATGAACTATACCCAGAAAGCAAACAAAACAAGTTTCCATTTTAAGTGCAACAATCGCAGCTAGACCTAGTCATGTAAAACGATACACTTGCCTGCAATATTGACTGATACCGTAAATCCTCGAATTAGTGCCTCCCCCCCTCCTCGAATAAGCATCCCCTTGGAATAAGCACCCCTTCTATCACCTAAAATTTAAAATAAGCGCCCCTCCTCGAATAAGCGCCCCCTCCCCTCCCCCCATTTTGTGGACGAGTAATGAGACAACAAAGGATGTATAGTTTTCGCAGTGTAGTATTAGATTTGTACACTGTTTCAGTTTAAGAACACGTTAAGTGAACACATTGAACACTAACGGTGCCATGATTTAAACTTAAGGATCATAAAGATCAGCTCTTTATGTCGATAAACAGCTTATGTTGTTGTTTACACATTTGGGAAAAATTAAATAAGTGCCCCGCCTCAATTAAGCGCCCCCCTCGAATAAGCGCCCCCCATTTTCTCCTAAATTTGAAATTAGCGCCCCGGGCGCTAATTCGAAGATTTACGGTACAGTGATTTCAGGAGCTTTATCTACTGGTTAGCGGAATTACTCCAAAAAGTTTACAGATGATGGAAGGACATCATTTGCATATCATTTGCAAAATCTGCCCCTCCACTAAAACCCTGTAGATTGCTCATGCAATCTCCGGGTGAAAAATGACAATGATTTAAGATGATTTTTGAACTGGCATGCGGAAGAAAATTCAGTGGTAAACGTAG